AGACTTCTAATCCGAAACTTTGGCGGTCAGAAGGCAATGGGTAGATATAATCAAAGTGCTAAAAGAAAAAACAAAAACAGAAACTTCTGTCAACCAAGAATGCTATATCCAGCAAAACTATTCAAGAGGAAGGCAAACCATAAAATGCTCTTACCTATAGGAAACAAACTGAGGGTATCTGGAGGGGGTTGTTTGGGGTGATGGGGTAATTAGGTGATGGGCATTAAGGAGGGCACTTGGTGTAGTGAGCACTGGATGTTATATGCAACTGATGAATCACTAAAGTCTACCCCTGAAACTAATAATACACTATATGTATTATTACACTAAATTGAATTTAAATAAAAAATTAAACAAAAGAGTGAGGGAAAAATTAAGATACTCCCAGATAAATAAAAGCTTAGGAGTTTGTTACCACTAGAGCTGTCCTACAAGAAATGCTTAAAGGAGTCATGTAGGGTGAAATGAAAAGACACTAGATGGTAACCCAAAGCCATGTGAAGAAATAAATAGTTCAATAAAGGTAAGTATGCAGGCAATTATAAAAGCTAGTGTTATTGTAATAATGGTTTGTGATTACATTTTCTGTTTTCTACATGACCTAAGAGACTAATATATTTACAAAAATTATTAGTCTAAAAACTAGTATTATTGTAACTGGTTTGTAACTCCATGTTTCATTTTCTACATTAGGTAAGAGGCTAATGCATTTAAAAGAATTATTACTTGTGTTTGGGAACACACAGTGTATAAAGATAGAATTTTATGACATCAGCAACTGAAAGGAGTGGAGATGGAGCTGTAAAAGAGCAGAATTTTTGTATGTTATTGAAGCTAAGCTGGTATAAATTCAAAGTGTTAAAATTAAGTGTTACAAATTTAGGATGTTACAAGTAATCCCCATGTTAACCACAAAGAAAATAGCTGTAGAATACACACACACACAAAAAATGAATATAGAATTTAATCATTTCACTACAAAAAATCAACTAAGTACAAAAGAAGATAGTAACGCAGGAAATGAGGAACAAAAACATTATAAGGTATACAGAAATAAATAGCAAAATGACAGATATAAGTTTCTCCTTTTCAGTAATTACTTTAAATGTAAATGGATTAAACTCTAATTGAAAGACAGAGATTGGCAGAGTGGACTAAGAACAAGAAAACAAACAACCCCTCCCCACCACCCGCACCATGATCCAACTATACACTATTTATAAGAGATTCACTTTAGATCCAAAGACACAAATAGATTGAAAGTGAAAGGATGGAGAAATATGTTCAATGCAAGTAATAACTGAAAGAGATAAAACAGACTTTAAGTCAGAAATGTTTACAATAGACAAATAAAGGCCTTACAAATTAATGAAAGTTTCAATACTAGAAGATATGACAATTACAGGCATTTATGTACATAATGCCATACCATCAAAATATGTGAAGCAAAAACTGACAGAACTGAAAGAGGAATCAGATAGTTTTGCAATAATAGTTGGATATGCCTGTACTCCACTCTCAGTGATAAAATAATCAGAGAGAAGATAAGTAGGGCAATAGAGGATTTAAACAACAAAATAAATCAATAAGATCTAACAGACATATTCAGAACACTCTATCCAACAATAAGAGTATGTGCATTCTTCTTAAGTGCACATGGAACATTCCCCAGGCTAGACCATATGATAACCCACACATTATGTCTCAATAGATTTTAAAAGATGGATATCATAGAGGGGCGCCTGGGTGGCTCAGTCATTAAGTGTCTGCCCTCAGCTCAGGTCATGATCCCAGGGTCCTGGGATCGAGCCCCACATTGGGCTCCCTGCTCCACGGGGAAGACTGCTTCTCCCTCTCCTACTCCCCCTGCTTGTGTTCCCTCTCTCACTGTGTCTCTCTCTGTCAAATAAATAAAATCTTAGAAAAAAAACGATGGATATCATAGAAAGTATCTTCTCTAACCACAAAAGGATGAAGTTAGAAATCAGTAACAGAAAAACTGGAAATTTTGCAAATTTATGGAAATTAAACAACGCACTTTTAAAAAATGAATGGATCAAAACAAATCACAAAAGAAATGAAAAAATACTTAAAAGTGAATGAAAACAAAAGAAGTGAAATGTACCAAAACTTATGGAATGTAGAGAAAGCAGTATTAATGGGGGAATTTACACATCAAAAGAGTATCAGCAGAGTAAAAAGGCAAGCCACAGAATTGGAGAAAATATTTATAAATTGTATATGTGACAAGCAATTAATATGCAGAATATATAAAGAATTCCTAAAGCTCAACAACAACAACAACAAATCAAACAATCTGATTCAAAAATGGGCAAATGGTTTGAATAGGCATTTCTCTCAAGAAGATATACAGATGATTACAGCTTTGTAATAGAGCTTGAAGTCTGGAATTGTGATGCTACCAGCTTTGCTTTTCTTTTTCAATATTCCTCTGGCTATTCAGGGTCTTTTCTGGTTCCATACAAATTTTAGGATTATTTGTTCCATTTCTTTGAAAAAAGTGGATGGTATTTTGTGACATCTTCACAATATTTGTTCTTCCAATCCCTGAGCATGGAACGTTTTTCCATTTCTTTGTGTCTTCCTCAGTTTCTTTCATGAGTATTTTAATAGTTTTCTGAGTACGGATCCTTTGCCTCTTTGGTTAGATTTATTCTTAGGTATCTTATGGTTTTGGGTGCAGTTGTAAATGGGATCGACTCCTTAATTTCTCTTTCTTCTGTCTTGTTATTGGTATATAGGAATGCCACTGATTTCTGTGCATTGATTTTATATCCTGCCACTTTACTGAATTCCTGTATGAGTTCTAGCAGTTTTGGGGTGGTTATTAACATAACAATAAAAGAAAAGAAAAGATATACAGATGGCTAGTAAGCACATGAAAAGATCACTCAACATCATTAGTCATGAGGGAAATTAAAATCAAAAGTATAAGGAGACACCATCTCATACCCATTAGGATGGCAACAATCAGAAAACCAGAAAATACCAAGTGTTATATTAACTGCATACTGGTAGAACCCTGGCCCTAAACTTCTTCAGTCCTCTCAGTGATTTGGGGAGGCCGCAAGGAGTCTCTCACAGGCTCCTAGTCAGTCTTCTTTAGCCTCTGTTTCCAGTGCCCAAAGTCCCTTGAAATCAGTGCCTATCACTGCCCCAGGGCTGATGCCCTGAGAGAACGTATCCTCTGTCCTGTCCAGGGCACTGTCTCCCAGGGTGACAGGGGGTGCCTAATCAGTTTGCTTGGAACCACCAGGGATTTACACATATTCGTGTACACATATGTATCCGTGGGTGTGAGTGTACTCACAATAATAGCACACACTCTCTTGTGTGCTCTCTCAGTCCTCTCAGCTGTTGGCTTCTTTTTTATAATGAGTATCATTCTGATATGTAACCACCCATATTCTTGTTCAGCCATCTATTTATTTATGGTGTTGTGTAACCGCAGGAACACTTGTTTGGAATGGAGAAAACCTTTGTTTTGACTGCAGATGATTATGCCTTTTGAGTTCCTGTGTTTTCCATGGAGGTACAGTGAATTCTCACAGTGGTAGGTGGGCAGGAATACACTGCATTTTTGATGAAGGAGAAGCCTAATTATTTGACTATAACTTGAGTTCCAGGATGTCTGTCTCAAGGCAGAAAATATGTCTTATTAAAAAGATGCATTGGTGGGAAAAAGAAAGGAAAGAAGGAAGAAGGAAGGGAGAAGGAAGGGAGGAAGGAAGGAAGGAAGGAAGGAAGGAAGGAAGGAAGGAAGGAAAGGGAAAAAGTCCATCTCTGTTAGTTCAAATCCCTTGTAGCCATTGGAAAAATTAGCCAAGTCCCATGTCCTGCCAGTTGAGGGTCAGCAGGGTCTTTGTTTTTGCATTCAGAGCTATTTTCCTGCTGTTACCACTGTCACCTCCACTGTCACCCTCTTCTCCTCTCGTTGTTGCTTTGACTGCTGTCATTATTTGTGTTGCATTCCAGATTTATGCTAAATGAATCAAATAATCCAAAAATTTGTTTAAGTCACACATTGTTAAACATGCATTTGGAATGATTTCCTGCGAAAGCCTGGGTGCAGAATACAAATATTTTGAATGGACTTATCTTAGAGTTGTACTGCTTTTTTTACTTGTCACTTTAAAACCCTTAATACGAATAAATTGTTTGTACAGTGGGCTTTTTTTAATCCTGAGATAAGAAATACATGGTTTGAAAGCAGAGAATAAAAACATGAATGATAATGTATGCAATGCCCGGGAAAGGTCCTTGCTGCTGCTCATGGGCAGGCGTTATAATCAGCTTTTTGGCGTGTTTATTTCAGGCTGCAGATAGTGGATAAAAGTGGCTGGTTGGTTGCCAGCACATGACTTAGTTGCCAAATGGAGTGTTTAGTACTTGTTACATTTGATTTATATCACAAGTTCTTCCCATTAACAGTCTACTGATGATAACCTACTTGGCTTTTCATGTGGTTACTTTGAAACAGCCACTTGACAACATTTGGCATATCAGGAAGTTTAATACTGAATAAAGGAGTGAGTGAATGACTACATAGGTTCTGCCATATATTGATATGGTGCTTGATGCAGAATGGGCACCCAATACATGTCTTTTCATTGAATGAAAAAATCCTGCATATGTATTTCTCTGATTCATTGTACGAAGATTAGATTGTGGACTAATCTGGTAGGAAGGACAGAAATAGGTAGAAATAGCAATGCTTACATGTCTGAAGGGCTTGCATCAGTATGGAGGAGGTAGTCTGCTCATCTCTATTGAGCAGACTACCTCCATTTAAATACAAAGTTGAATTACAGGGAAAGATGAGGTCTCATCAAAATGGCCTTGATTCTAAGTCAGTGTAACCTCAATGCTGACAATGTCCATAGCCTGGGGTCTATTTTTTAAAAACATGTCCACTTCAGGAACCTTGGCCTTGGATCTGTAATAAGATATGCATTAAATATGGTGATCTTTATTTTCAGATTGAAAACTTGCAAGAACAGCTTAGAGATAAAGACAAACAACTAACCAATCTGAAAGACAGAGTAAAGTCCTTGCAGACGGATTCCAGTAATACGGATACTGCGCTAGCAACACTCGAAGAGGCTTTGTCAGAAAAGGTGAGCTTGGGCTGAAAAATGGGGGTGTCAGGATTGAGGGAAGTGTGGTGAGGAGGAGATGATCTAAATGCATTTAAGTATGCCCGCTTTTCTCCATGTGCTCACACTACCCTCTGTTCCAGCTGGACCTCCCACTCCCATGTTAGCCCTCCTCAGTATACTTGGCACATTAAATAAGCCAGGAGAGCCTTGAAATGCAAACCTGATCACATCACATTTGGCCCTGCTTAAAAACCTTCACTAGCTTGTTACTGTTCTTAGGATGATGAAAATTGAAATCCTTAACCTGGCACAGACATTCCATCCCTTCATCCGGTCTGGCTCGTATCCGATCAGCTACCTCTCTGCCTGCTTTTTTACTCCTCTTTCCTTCCCATACTCCCACCCTCTTTCCCTTTCTCCTTCTTGTTCTTCCCTCCCTCCCTTCCTCTACCTTCCTCTTTTTTCTTCTTTCCTTCCTTCTTGCCCAGCCTCATCCCCCATCTCTCTTCCCTCATTCTCTGTATTCTAGCTATGCTGGCCTAGATCTTCAAGTCTGCCATGCTCCCTCCTTTCTCAGACCCTTTGCATACACTGTTACCTAGCCTAGAATGTTCTTTACTTTCTGCAGATTTAATTCCTCTTCTTCTGGGAGTTTGGCTTCCTGAGAAGCTGTATTACGCAGTAGTCAAGGATGTGGACTTGGGAGCTAGACTGCCTGTCTCCTATATTCCCCATTATCATAGTCTATAAACTGTGGTAATGAAGTCAAGTGGAAGGAGACTTAGGTAGGAGCTAATCCCAGCCCTGCCACTAACTGGATGACCTTGGCAAGTAACTCTCTTTCCCAGCACCTCAAATTTGTGGAATGGAAGGCATTAGATTAAATGGCCCACAGATTATTTTTTTTAAGCAATGTATCTTAAAGAAGGCTTCTTTGACTTCTACGCCAGAATCACCAGGAGGTGCCTGTTGAAAATCTGAATTATTAGGCACCATCTATACCTAGTAAATCAGAACTTTGAGAGGGCTTGGGATTCTGCACTTTAGCAAGTTCCTGGAGTGAACATCCAGTCATTGTGATGTTTACTCTAGTCTGAGAACCACTGCACTACATAAGAAAATAGAGATGCTAAAAGGAAGAGCTGTAATTGTATGGCTAGATAGAAATTATAACATTATAACTTTAATATTAAATTATAAAGATACAAGATTTTACTTGAAAACATAAAAGAATAAATAAGATGATTCTTCAGGGAAAATACTCTTTTTTTAAATTTTTAAGAATTTATTACCAAAACTCTATGTAGTAATTTTGTTTGTAAAAATTTGAATGAGGGAATGTTGGTTCAAAAACTATTAATGAGTATGTATCCTGTTTGCAGTTTTTGAGTGATATGATGTCATTCCATTACTACCTCTCAATTTCTTTCTGCAACTTTACAGAAGTAAACATATACCATATAATTTTTCCATGTCATGGATTCTTGGCAGGATTTTATCATTTTTTTTCCCCTGGCCCTATTAAGATTTGATTTATTCTAGTTTAAATCCCCAAACAATCCCCAAATCTGAAGCTGTTCCTTTTATTTAAGCACTTCCTTTGAGAATGAGGGGACGACTGCGAAGGAAGGTTGAGGTCTGTGGGAGTCTGCCCCCCTCATACTCATGCCACCACTTGAGAGTTGCATCACGTGGGGCAAGCCTCTTCTCTTAGTACATTATTTTCAAAATGCACATTTAAATTAGCTGACCTCTAAGTTCCATTCTCTTTGGAACTACCTTGATAATAATTATTCAGTTTGCTGATCCACAGTCTCAGGCACATGAAATCTGAATTAGGCAATAGATGAGGAGTTGAGTAGTTAGATATCTTGAAGAGCCAGGCAGAGAACAAAAATGAGGGAAGTGGGTTTGGTGTGAGGCAGTAGGGACTGCTGGCAACTGTGGCAAGCTGCAGAATCCTTGACCTACCTCAAACCATTCAAGTTCAGGTTTTAAAGTATTATGCTCAAGCCAAATGTGAGGTAGGCCAGCTTTGGCCTATGAGCTGTTAGTTTTCAAACCTTATTTGCATCTGACTTTTAGCCTTTCATAGTAATGAAGAATAAAAGTAAACACAGGTCAATTTATTTGAAGGGAATTTTCAAAAGGTGACAAAATCAGAATGTTAGTGTATTTGAAAAGCACAGACAGAAACATTGGATAGGAACTGGCAGGGTTCTTTATCATGGGACAAAGAATAATAGATTGCTTTTAAGTATTTATTCCAGTATCAAACTTTTGTGTGTATCCAAATAATCTTATAATCTAGGGAGCTTCTTAAAATACAGTCACCTGGGTCCCATTTCCTAGTGATGCTGAATCAGTTGCTTTGCTGTGGGGCCAAGGAACCTGTGATTTTTAAAGGTATGCCCAGTGATTCCGATGAAAGTGATTAAATGACCATACGTTGAGAAACACCAAACCTATGCTCTTCCATTTTAAAGATGGGAAATGGCCTTAGTGAGGTGAAATGACTTGCCCAGAAATGAAAATTTTGGACAGATGCAGCACTATTCCCCATTTCTGTGTGCTACGTGGATGTCATGGATAGACCATGGTGCATGCTAACTTCTCAACCCAGTGCTCCAAGAAGCCACTTCTAATTTGTCTAAGTTGGCCCTATGTTGGGACTTTGTTGCCTCCCCTGGACTATCCCAAGGCCACTCAGCTCACAGGTGATGGAATGGGACTGAAACTCAAACCTTCTGATAATTGTACTTTTGACAGCATCCCAGTCGCCTTTAATGGCTGTTCCCTCACAAGTTCCAGTTTTATCACATTTAATTGAACAGATCCCCTGGAACAAGATATGGTACAAAAAATAAAATGATTAATTAAAAACCATGGACTCATAAGAACATCTAATTATTTGCTGTCATTTGGCTGATGAATAGAACCTATTAGGCACTATTCACCATTCTACTTGAATTATGACCTTCTGGGGAGTGTGTTATTCCTTTTAGTTTCTAAGAATTTATATACTTATTCACAGTGCAAAAAATAATGCCACATAGCAAGTTAAGATTGAGTATGACTTAGTTCTAGGATTGACACACAGAAGCTCAAGAGACAGAACCCACAGTATTTATAAAGCTGGTCTCGCCAAGCCTTGCTGTAGCCACATAGCAGATAAGCAGTTGAGAAAGGCAGATAGCAGAGCCGGAGGCCGCTGTAATTCAGTTCCTGCTCAGTGATAAAGCACAAATAGATTAGACCTGTGCAGAGCCAGATGAGTGCACAAGAAACACTTGCCAATGCAAATAAGACTAAAACAAGAACACATTGTTGGGATTTCTGCAAGTTAGTTGTTAATCAAGTAGATCATGGCATATTAGGGCCTTTTAACACATGTTTTTGACATCTGGCCCTGCGTGGCTGACAGTTAAATTAGTTTTGTGATTGACGGAGAAATATTTTGTAGTATTGAATCATCAATAACACTTAAAAACATTATAGTGCTTGCTGATTTTTTTTGTCATCGATGCCCAGTCAATAGTACAAGTGCTTAGAGTGAATCAACCTACTCACCAAATGACTCTGACAAATTCTGGATGTTAACATGTTTATTTATAAAATAAAACTTAATTTTATTTCCCTTCCTTTGAAGCTAAGACAGTCCCTAAGTTGAGTTCTTATTCCTTCCTTCAGCTTCTTTAATTGCCTGCTGTATGACAGACAGTTTGCCCAGCCCTGAGTTAAAAGAGTCACAGGATTTGAGTGCTGCCTCTTGGAAAACTAGGCTGGGAAGATGGACATGCAGTAAAACCATATGAAGGGCGCCGAGTGGAAATAAAGGCCACGTGATCCAGCCAGACGGATTCCTGGGAAGGTTTCCAAGTAGTGAGGCAACACAGTCAGTTTGGGACTTAAAAAAAAATGTCACTCCAACAGCTCATGTGGTGGAAGTGATGGCCTGGAGAGGGCCTGGTGGCCGGGTGACCAGTTGTGATGCTTTTGCAATGAGTGTAGGCATGAGGCAGGAAGGGTTCAGCTGTTGAAATTTTTAAAAGCCCTTGAGAGATTTCCTGTGCACTAAGGCCATTTTCTTCTTTTGTAGATGACATAATCATCCACTCACCAGTGTCACAGACAGAGTCAAATAGGAATATAACTGGAATCAAGAAGAATCAAATGTAGGCAATTAGTAGACTGATTTGTTCTGTTTCCACCCCCACTGTTGTAATAATATACTTCATTTTAAAGTGTTTTTAACTAATTGCAAAACAATAATGATACTTCTTTTTTTCCTTGAGAGCATTAGATACATAAATTATTGTCATTTGGGGTAGAACAGTTGCTTCCCTGGGGGATCTTAAATCACAGGCTGTGTTCAAACCAACTTTGCTCTGCATCACATACTGTTTTACATTGTATTATGTATCAGGCCTTGTCTCATACTACATACTTAAAAGAATATAAAAGATAATATCGAGATCCTTAAGAGTAGTTGTTGCACCAGTATTTTTTTTAAAATTTTTTATTGTTATGTTATCACCATACATTACATCATTAGTTCTTGATGTAGTGTTCCATGATTCAAGGTTTGTGCATAACACCCAGTGCTCCATGCAGAATGTGCCCTCTTTAATACCCATCACCAGACTAACCCATCCCCCCACCCTCCTCCCCTCTAGAACCCTCAGTTTGTTTTTCA